TAGCCCAGCTGTTCTGTCCATTATTCCTGTTTTATTGCTTCCTTTCTCATTAAGGAAGGTGTTGGTTTGGATAACTATAAACAACATGTCTGCTGTTACGGTGCTGCCATCTCTTGCACAGCCAGTGGCTGAAATCAGGTTCTCAGGAGTCTTCTGAAAGATTCGGATCACAGTTTTGGATATCAAGGAAATACAGGAAAAGGAAGCCTAGGTTTGAAAATGTGCCACATGAATAGCTATATTCCTATTTTTACTGTGGTTTTTATTTTTTCTTTTTAAAATTTCATAATAGGGAAAATAAAAATACTAGGAATGTTTTCCTTAAGCTCACATTCTCATTCTCATGCTCTCTCCTTCCCTCCCTCCTTCCACTCTCTCAGGATACCTGCATGAAAGAATCCTGACGGTCTGTGACCTGAAAATGCGAAAGAAAGGAGCTGGAAGGGTTTCTCTATCCCACTCTGGCCCTAGCAGGCCCAGGGAATCTCAGCAGCCTCTGGTCACTTACTGAACTGTTCTGTGGGTCACGTAGAGCCCTCTTGGTCACATAAGTCCAAGGGCTAAAGTCTATTTGGGAACAAAGGAACTGAAATGAAACTAAGTACTCAGTTTCTCTTACCCTAACTTAAATAATAATATCAGCATCTGTATTTCCCCTTCCCCAGGCAATGTATGCCTTAAAATAACTTTCATTGGCACATCATTTCTCACTAGAAACCCTTTTCTTTCCAGGTCTTCTAATTTTCTCTCTTCCAGCACAGGGAGAATCATATTTACTCAGAAAACCACAGTGTTGAACTATAGCCCTCTGTTTCTTAGAGTTTCACTTTCTAAGGGAATTTTGCAGCTGGTTACATCTGCTTTTCCTAATTTTTTTTTCTGTTCTTTTGCCCATTTTGATTTCTTCCCCAGGCCCATCCCCCACCCAGACTTAGTATTCTTACCTCCACCGCACATCACCATGCTGGCCTTCTTTTGCCATAAAAAAAATACACAATTCATCTTTGTCCCAAACAGAAAATATTTGTTGATTTCTACTAATAATTTCCAGAATTTTTAATTTTATAGTATTTCTAGGAACAGTTCCACCATAAGACACTTCATAGAGCTGATTTGGGTTTTGTGTCACAGTTCTACCTCACTGTGTGTTTCTTGGTGTGTCTGGACAGGAATTGCCTCTGTTGAAAGTGTATAAATGAACTCTTCTGAATGCTAATAATATTCATGTAGTCTAAAATTCTATATGCATGTTAAATATTAAACTTGCCTTTCCTTAGTATACATCTTGGATATTCACCCCAACTGGTGCATTTGAAGGAAAAGCAACCTATGCTGGTTAGATAAATTCAAATACAGTATCATGTGCCTTTTGAAAGGAGAGTGATGTTCACTATACACCAGACACTATTTTGATTGTTTTTCAAATATTAAGTCATTTGAGTATCATAAAGTCCTCTGAGACAGATATTCTTATTATGCTAGTTTTACAACTGAGGAAATTGAAGCGTAGACAGGTAATACACTTAAGGTCACACAGTGAGTAAATAATAGAGCCAGGATTCAAATAGAGGCCATCTCTAGAGTTCATGCACCTAACTCCTCTTCAGTACTCCTTCACTAATAACAACAGTTGTTCTGGGTGGAGGACAGAGGTGGAGTAGGAGGGTACTAGAGATTGAACCCAGGGCTTTGCTCATGCTAAGCACATGTTCTACATTCCCAGCCCCAATAATAATGTTTAGGTTATTTCCTTTCAAATCTCCCTCCAAGTCAGAAGGCAATTCAGATTTACCTTGCATGGTACTGTGTACACAAAAGCCAACCCTTTTTCTGAAATCAAGTCCCCATTCAAAGAAGAAAGACTTTTGACTTTTTTTAACAAATAAAACCATCTCACACAAATTGTCCCTCCAGGTTTGGCATGCCACCCTCCAACTAAGAATTTATAGCAAATTTTCTCAAGATATAGGTATGAAACACATGGTATTTTTAATATCAGAACATTATAATAAGCTTAATTCTTCATAAAATCCTTATGGTGTCCAAATCGCATTGTATAGTGATTTGCTTTTAAGACTTTTGAATTTATTAGATTCCCTACATAAATTGCCTACTAAGCAAAGCACAATTTCTCATTTTCTTTCTGAAATCAAGACTCCAGGCTTGATATGCTGAGTTAGTAAATAAATAAAATTGTTTATTTCATGTTGTTAAAGATTTTCATTGCAAGTATTTATTTTCTCCTAATGTCTAAGCTTTTTGTTTTTTTTTAATCAGTATATAGTCTTCAATGCTTTGACCAGTTTACTTATGTCATCTAACTTCCTTAAAGAGTGTGAATTTAGTGTGTGAAACAACATATGCCTGTAATCTTAGCCACCCAAGAGGCCAAGGTAGGAGGATCAAAAGTTCCAGGCCAGCTTGGGCCACTTAGTGAGACCTTGTCTCAAAACAGAAAGTAAAAAGGTTTAGTAGGGATGTAGCTCAGTGGTAGAACACTTGTCTAGCATGAGCAAGGTCCTGGGATCAATCCTCATTACTGGTGAAGGTGGACTGGGGATGTGGTTACTGTGAGCTAGTAGAAGGATAATATGGAATCTCATCAATTTCTTGGTGAAATTACAGCACTATGATTTCCAATTATGCTCCCGTTCTGTGCCAGGAACTTCAAAGAAGTGAAGTCACAGAAGTAAATAAGAATGGATTCCCTGCCCTTGAAGAGCTAACTGGTTCAGTTTTTCTGGGACATGTACTAGATTTCTTACTTGGATCATAAGTGGTAGATCAAAATTCTGCCACCAAAATATAGGAATATTTGACACTATTTCCTCTAAATTCATACATCACCATGAGGGACTCGTTTGAATGTTCATCTGCTAGGTCTATGTCCCTTTTTGCTAACTCTTAGGATCTTCTTGTGACTGGTCTAATGTTGTAATTCTTTAAAATACACGGGATCCAAAATACAATCCTGTCCAGTATTATTGCATGTGCAGGTGGAAATGGAAGCTCTAACTGGTCGTAGCAACAAAAGAACTTTAATTTTATATCGCTTTACATGTCTCATGACTTTAATAGGTATGTGTATACATATAGATACATATGCGTCATCTCATGGCTGCTACAGTGATCAGTTTTGTTAATATATATTTGCAATACAAAATAGTTACTCTCAGTGATCTTACATACATCAGATCAGATCCCATTCTTGCTTAAGTTTCTTTAATAGCCTTCACTCACACTCAAAATTAAAACAGCTCTCCATTCTTCTTTGACTTAATTTTTAAAAATGTTTAATTCCCATACTTAGTTATACTCTAGGTGGTCTTCTTTTGGTTTGGGTTTTACAAGCAAAAATACTGTTTTCTACCTCAAGTCCTTTTTTGTTTTCTGTTTCTTCAGATCAATTAAGGGACTGGCTCTTTCATTCAGGTCTCAATTCAGATACCACCTTGCAGAGGGGCCTTCCCTGACAGGCTGAAGTATCAACCATACCTTCTTGCCAAGTTACTTGCTAGCATATTACTCTATCTCATTTGCCTCTTAGTCCTTACTGCTTAAATTCTTTTTGTTTGTTCACTTATTTATCGTTAGTTTCCTCCCTTGACTACAGTGTAGGCCAATGAGAGCAGAGACTGTATACCTATATACTGTATATCTGCTCCCAGAACTCTGCTTGGCATTGAGCATGTAAACTAATGAATTAGTGCATTTGATAATGCCTTAATGTTTGTGGATGGGAATTAGTTTTTCTAACCTCATTTTATTCTTCATAGGTAATTTAATCTACTCTTTTGGCTTTTTCCTACAACTCTCACTATTTTTCTCCAGTCTAGATCTTTGTTTCTGAGATAACCAGCTCTATTCTGTACTTGACTTTTTTGTCTCCTATTGTTGATTTTAAATGTTAACTTCTATAATCAAAGATACTCTTAACTTTTGGGTCATAGGACCTACAAAATACCTGTGAATCTAAGTTGCCAGTTTTAAAACACATCCTTCTCTTGGTTTTCCTTTTTTTCCCTATTTCAATCTCCCAGCTCTTCATTCTTCTCGTTATTATTTCTTAATGAACTATCTATAGACTCTGGCTCTACTTTCAAGGCCTACCTACCATTATCCATTACATTACCCTTCAGTACTATAAGATTTCCTTCCAGAGTATCTGCACCCTGAAATGGTGCAGTTTGGCCAGTTCCCAACTTGTGGATCAGAGACTGGACCATTTCAAAATTTCAGAGGACCATATTTTGACAAGAGGCTTTGCCTCTACTTGGAAGGCATGCAGCTGTAGTTGCTGCCTGTGTCAGATCTGACCTGTGGGTCAATGACTTCTTTTTACCATTACTGCAGTTATTTTCAAAATGTGGTTGCAATATATATGCCATGATCATTATAAAGTGCATCTCCAAAGCATTTTCTCTCTACCCTATCATATTCATTACTTCTGATGCATTGTTATTATACAAATACCATCACAGAGCACTGAAAAAAACTCTCATACTTTCTAATATGAAAAACAGAATTTCCATTTTTCAGTGAAGATTGTTGCATCCCTAAAAGTAATTACCTTACTCCTAGAATATGCACTTGTTCTGTCACATTATCACTTGGGTTTATTTGGGGAAAAGTGATACTTCCTATAAGTGAACGTGTAGTAATACTATATGCACATGGGTGTGTGTGTGTGTGTGTGTGCACGCATGTGTGTGTGTGTGCACGCGTGTGTATGCCAGCTCACTCTAGAGTGCACCATCATGATGAAAAAAAGCACAAATCATGACTACTTCTGAGCACGTAATGGAAACACTTCCTTTAGAGAATGAATGTTGCTTTTCAGTTGGGAATATCATTTAAAACCTCATTATCCCCAGGGCCAGGGATTTAGCTCAGTGTTGCCACACCCGCCTGGCAGGCACACAGTGAGGAGTTCAATTCCCAGTACCAAAACCAAAACAAAAACCCCTCATTATCCCCTTCTGCTTTTATTGTATGAACAGGTGGTTAACGCATACACTCCAGGAAAGAAGATTTGGCTTGAAGGTGTAGTGACCACCTCAGCTGGAGGCACAAATAATCTATCGGATTCCTATGCTGCAGGATTATTGTAAGTAATATTTGCAGTGTCCCTCCCCTAGACTGTCAGAAAAGGATGGTGAAACCGACATGGTGGTTATACAGCTCATTGCAGAGCAAAGCTTGTTTCTCTTTGAAATTTCATCAATTATTCATTTGTAAATGTTTTAACCATAAACCAAAAATTATTAATGCTATCTTTATATACTAAAAGTGAGACATAAACATCAGAGCAAAAATAAGAGGAAGAATAACAGTAAAAATAATAAAAGGGAGAACTTTACTTAACAAGTCTGCAATTTAAATAATATAAATTTTCTTATCAATTTTTACCACAATTTTGGAAGATAGCTAACAAGTTTTCCCTCCAGACGTATATAATTGGAGGATGTAGGATAACAGCTAACTACATTGTAAATTGCTGGAGATAAGGACCACATAATAATACTCTAAACTACATATCGTCTACCACAAACCAAGCACCATGTAAAGTGCTTTGTATGTATTTAATAATTTAACAACAAATGAAATCAATGCTGTTGTTTTAATAGTAAGCTAGTGAAATACATACTATTATTAATTTCATGCTACATTTAAAGAAATTGAAAGAGTCAAAGTAACTCACCCAAGGTCATTCATATAGTTAGTGGCAGAACTCAGATCCAAACCAGGCAGCCTGCTCGAGTCTAGACTCTTTACAACTGAGTTGACCATTTCTCTTTCAAATGGTCTCTCCACAAGAAGAAAGTGATCAACATTCAAAGAAATAAAGAAAAACTTTCACTGGGAATATCAGCAAGGGCTTCATGAAGCTGGTGTCATTTGACTGGACTATAAAAGGATTACTCTAGTTTCTGTAGATAGAAAATGGTAATGATTGCAAAGAGAGGTATTCCAGACCAAAGAAACATATGGGCTGAGCCACTGTGGAGGGGCAATGATTAATATGACTAGAGCCTTGTTGTATTCAGGGATGTAATGAGAGCTGAGACACAGGGGTAGAGTTTACCACCATATTACGGAAGGTCCTACAAAACAGGTAGATGAGGAAAGGCCAAGTTCTATAATCATGGAAAGCCACTGAAAATTTTAGAAGAGAAGAAATGTACAGTCTGACCTGTTTTAAACCTTCTGCTTTGACAGTAATATGCACAGGAGTTTGAGGGAGATGAATAAATGAATTTGTAGTCATCTTGAGAATAAGTTACCAAGAAGCATAAGGAGCTTTGCCTGGCTTACCTGTGTCATGTGACAGAAGGCAAACTTCTGACTCAGTATACTACTACGGGCCTGGCTTTTCGCTGAGCAATGCCCTTCTGTGAACTGTAGCTTTGCCCTCAGCTATGTGTTTTTGCTACCATCAGCTATTGCTAATTATATGGATGCAGTCATCTCCACTGACACAGCTTCTTTAATACAATTGTGAAGGACAAATCAGACCAGCTAAATAGATCGCCTTTGCAAATGGAATCCTGTCAAATTCAGATGAAGATAATGAGTCAGTGTAATTCATACTCACACCTTGAGTCTACTTTTGTATCTTCAACATCTAACATTTTGTGGCACAGAGTTGTTCAGTGACCATGGTTAGAACAAATTACTTCAGTACTTAGCAATGCTTATCACATAGTAGATATTAAACATTTGTGGAATGGAAAATAGGGGGTAGGATAGTGTCCTGGGTGGGATATAAGTCATTTTACCAACTTTTATTTACTGTTTTTTTTTTTTTTTTTTTTTTTTTT